GGCTTGACGTATTGTTTGGGGAGTCCGGTTGGCAAGGTACATCTAGTTCTTTCCTCGCCTTCCACCTCTGTGGTCCCGGGTTCGATTCCCGGCCCGGTCCACATGTGGATTGTGTTTTAGTCCCTGACTCCATGGGTTTTACCCAGACTATTCCTCTGGGGTTTTCCTCCCACCTCTAAAACAGTAACTGCTTCTTAATGTCTCCTCCTTACTGATGTATGCCTGAGGCGCCTTTGTATGCCATCGGCTCAACCATGTTTTAATGTATTCATTGTTCCATGCTTAATGTCTTCATTTTACAGCACTTTTGAACATATCTATATGAAATTTGCACTTTATAAATGAATAAATTATTATTATTATTAACTTATTGGAGAACCTCTGTCTTCTGTGCACTGATGACCAGTGCCACGCTGGAGTATGACTCTGTGATGGTAGAGAGAGTTCTCTGCAGGTATCTGGTGTGCGGCTGATGAAAGCTGCACTGTCTGCATATTGCAAGTCAAAGATACATGTACCGGTAGTTTCAAGCCGGGTCTTACTGTTGGTCTGAAGACGTTACAGGTTTAAGAGGCTTCCATCCAGTTGGGAGCAGAAGGTAACTCCATCATCCAAGTGGAGTTGCTCCTGAGAGAGAAGAGAGATGGACACAAGAAAGATGTTGAAAAGCACCAGGATAAGGACATCCCTGCTTCATGCCTACCTTGACCTCGAAAGACTCCGACTTAAGGCTGCCAACCAGCACTCGGGCAAGCATGCCAGTATGGAACTCCTGGATAATCTTCATTAACTTGGGTGGGCAGCTGCACTTGGGAAGGATGGTCCGCAGAAGATTTCTATTGACAGTATCAAAGGCTTTTGTGAGGTCTACGAAGGCAATATAGAGATCACGGTGCTGCTCCCTACACTAGTCCTGGAGAAGGCAGGTAACAAAGATCATGTCTGTGAAGCTTCTGTCCTACTGAAAACCTAAAAAGACTCTGGGAGTACAACACCAAAGATGAATGTGAGGAGACGGTGCAGCATCAACCTCGCTAAAACCTTCCCGGCCACCAATAGGAGCAAGATGCCACGATAGTTGCCACATATTGACTTATCTCCTTTCCTTTTGTAGACAGTAACGATATTGGCATCCTTCCACTGCTGAGGAAGAGCCTCAGCCACCCAGATGTCAGTACTGAACTCATGGAGATGTTGAAGGAGGAGACAACCACCACATATAAAGATCTCCTTGGAAATCCTGTTCGGCCCTGCAGATTTGTTGTTCTTCAGGCTCTTGACTGCCTGCTGGATCTTGAGGAAGGTCAGTGGGTTATCAAGCTCAACAATGGGTAGAAGCATGGGTAGGTGATTGATTATGGTGGGGTCAGTGGGGTTGACACAGTTCAGGAGCTCATTGAGGTACTCAGCCCAGTGGTTGAGAATTCTCTGGCAATCTTTGATGAGGGTGGCACCATCAGCAGACCTAACCAGGACAGAAGAGCCTCTGATTGGGCCATAGATGAACTTGATGGCATCATAGAACCCGTGGAGGTCATGGTCATCTGCAAGGCCCTGGATCTCATGGGCCTTGTTCCTCCACCACTCATTAGCCATCTAGGAGAGGTGAGTCTGGGCAACGGTGAACTGAGCACAAAGAGCATAGGATGATGGGTTATTGATGGCGGCTGTTAGGCTGCATTCTTCCTCTCCAGGAGGTCATGAATCTCCACACAGTTATCATCACACCAGTCCTGATGACATCATGGTGTACCCTATTGCAGCAATGGCAGTATCTCTGATTGCAGTGGAGATGGCATTGCACTCGAGTGTTGCGCTGGTAATCTTGATGGATAAGGAGGGGGTAGGGACGTTGGAGAAGGCGACTGCTAACCTTTCATGCATCGCCTGATGATTGGAGAGGTCTCGTAGGGCACCACAATGGACCCTCTTTCTTCCAGCACACTTTTGAACAGGAGGTCTAATCCTAAGACAAAATGTAGATTACACGAGACAGTGGTTGGTCCAGCACTAGGCACATCCGAGAGCTCTGATGAACCTGACATTCCAAAGGTTGCCACAGAGCACGTTCACTTAGTCAATAAGGTGCCAGTGCTTGGAACGCGGATACATCCATGTCGTCTTCAGCTTGCAGGGCTTGCAGAATCAGTAGTCCGACATTCCGGGACAACCAAAATATTTTGATGGGCAGCCAAATGTTCCAGGCTGCCAGCCTGATGGGCAAGCACCTGTTTTCGGCAACACATTTTTCCCCAGTGTTTTGGACATTTCTGCCCAGTGCACTAAAAAAAATCGCAAAAAAAAGACCACAAAAAAAGATCGACATCCTAACCTCGATGTTGCACAACTGTACATGTTCGGGTAGGTGCAACGTGGTACATACGGTCGAATCGTTGGTATGAACAAAGCAGCCGCGTCTGTATTCAGTCGTTTTCCTTGTTCCGGATCACTTAAACAATATTCAGTCATATTACAGCTCAATTATCATCAAATTTCAATGCAATGGGGTCAGAGGTCTACCTTGTACATGTATATTTTCAAATTTTGAACTTTTGACTTTGTCTTACAAGATCGACAAAAGTGATGAGGACACTTTTCCTAGTTCTGGATTGGTTTAGCCCGTTCTGGATCGCTTCTAAAATTTCTTTACACATAAAAAGTAGCCATGCATAAACCAATTTCTCTGCCAAAACCATTGTAATAAGCATATTTTCTAGTAAAACAAGTCTTATTTTAAAGGAGATTAGTTTTTATATTAGAATTTCAGTGCATCAACATGGATAGCCTGCATAAATTTTAACTTGACTTTGCTGCCCAGTGAGCCGTCGACCACAAATCCCCCCATGCCGCAAAGTTGACGAACCCATTACATCACGTACAAATCTGTTACACACGTAAAGTTGAGTTCATGACGTTCGTATATGTAGGCCTACTTGCATGTATGCGCGATCCAAAACTAGGGAAAACATTTATGGAATCTCGCGTAGTGAGTGACCCATTTATTTTTTCTGGATTTTTTTTTCTTGAAATTTTCTGGAAGTAAAATTTGTGCTGTAAGACTTTAATGTTACCTTTCAAAAAAGAAGTAGTCTTAGCGTGTAAAACTGCAGAGCAAATAGCAAAAAGGTGGGTAGGCCTAGCCCTATTCATTTCAAGCAATCAGGAACTAGGAAAATGACTGTAATTACTGAAAGCTTGGAGACCACGTGTGGCTAAAACTTCCTTGTCGGGCAACTGAAAATGAAGTTCGGGCAACCAGATTTTAGACTTCCCTGCCGGAAGGGCAACTACATTTTTTTAATTTCGCGAGCTGTGGCTTGTTAGTGAGCTGGAATGCTGTGTTGGTGATGATGAGATCATGATCAGCACAGAGGGTGAGGAGTCTAAGCTATTGGAATTGACAGAACCAACACCATGCTTACCGATGACTCCACCCGACAGTGTGATTGGAGCCCATATGGACAATGAAATCACCAAGCAGGATGATCTTGTCAGACCGGGGATGGATCACAGCATCTGCTCGAGCAGATCATAGAACTCGTTCTTGATGTCCTCGGTGGTGGTGAGAGTGGGCCCACAAGTGCTGATGACAGTGGCATGTCTCTATGCTGCTAACGGGACATGGAAAGTCATAAGCCACTTGTTGTGACCAACGGGGGGGCCTCGGGAAGGTGGCTGAGGAAGGAAGTCTTAACTGCAAGTCCCACGCCATGGATCCTGGCGGCCTCTTCTGGATGACCCTTCCAAAAGATGTATCCTTCACCAACCTCGGTGAGGGAGTAGTCGGCAGCAAAACATGTCTCACTCAAGGCAGCAATATCAATATTGTAACTCCTCAGTTCTGCAGCGATGAGCGCAATACGGCGAGGTGGACAATGATTTTAAGCAAGATCCTTGGATCAAGCAATGTATGGACATCCTGGTGGGTGTGGCAACCTGCCCAGGAGAAACAGATTGGGCGACGTTTGGGCCACCTTTTCTAGGCCCGTCCTCAAGTGAGGCATGCAACAAGGATACCTGAAAAGGGTTGCTCGGTCACGCAGCCAGCTGCCCAGTGGGGGCATCACAAACAACCATCATGGACGTGCAGCAACATGTACAGTGGGCATGCTGGAGGTTTCCAGTCACATCCAAGACCTGACTCCATCATTGGCCTGTCCTGTCGCCACAGGACTTCTGGACAGACAAAAACATACAGGCGGAAAATTGATAATGAAGGGGATGATTCCCGTGCAGAGAAGAATCAAGGTGACGATGAGTGTGCGCAATTCTCAACACCACTATCTTGACCACCAATGCCAAAACCCGGTGGCAAGACATTGTCTAGACGGCCAGTGGGCGAGGTGGCCTCAGAGGAGTGGCCAGAACCTGCGAGGCTGGAGGAACCGCCCTTGACTATGCCTCTCCCTAAGGCACTGCTGGACAGCCCATGTCAGTGAAATAATGGCCAGGCCAGATTTCAGCAGGTGACCAGGCAGGGGTCCTAAGATGACCCACTGACCAATGGTTCAGGGTTATGCAAGCCTCTTGCTTGGGCTACCTGTCAAGGCTAATGAGCCCCATCTGCCTGGGTTTATGTACAGAGGTTACCTTGCGTGGATTCCGTGCGCTATCAATGCCATGCCATATTAACGCTGAACATCCGAACCAACCAGTTTGGTTCAGTTCGGTTCAAAAGTGCCATGTTTGACGATTTTTGGTTTGGTTTGGCGGTTCGGCTGCAGCACTGTGTAACAGGACCTTGTACATGTGGTCGCAGCACAGCACTCAACATGGCCGCAACTATGCATGCTATACATACACAATACTAATTGAAAAAACTTTTAATCGAAAATGGGGGTGGGTAGGTGGGTCAAAGCAATTTCAAATAAATTGAAATTTAAAAACAGCAAAAATTTTGAATGGCCCATATCCACCTTGACTGGCTTGCCTCTTGTATGTTGGGTCTTGCTATGAAAGATTGACCATGCTTTCTGAAACCTCGCTCTACAGATCGCCTCTGCATGGCTTGCTGTCTGAAACACCAATTGCAGGTACCCATTTAAAGAGGATTACAAAAACCATTCAAATAGTTACATAAAATAGTTCACCTTTCTCCTATGGGTTTAACAGGAGGTCTTCTTTCTCTAGAATTTGGTTTCATCTTTGGTGTTCCACAGTCCTCTGAGTCTGACGAGAATGTATTACAGATTAGCTTAGCTTCATGTCGTCTGGCTACATGCTTGGTTCCACTCATGACAGGACTGCTTGGAGTTGACACAACAGACGGAGTTTCAGGAATACAAGTCACTTCAGAGTCTGTATGTACAGATCAAGCAGTAACAAAAACAGTGTTGAGTACAAATATTTCTGTAGATACATTCACTCTTGATAGACAAAGTTTAATTTAATAATTGTAACTATAAACGAACAATGACTAAATTAACAGAATTATTCATTTGCACAACCTGTACTCACTGCTCTTGACATGGAAGAATTACAATGTCCAAATAAAGTAGGGCTGATGGGGGTAGTTGGAACACAGGTTAGGTTGAAGTATTGAGATTTTCTTTTACACCTAGAATTAATTTTAGCACATGTACATGTACATGCTGCCTTCTACAGGTGTGCCCAAGGAACAGTCATCCATCACACTGCCTGCAGCACCAGTGCCTCAGTAGTTATTAAGTGCTAAAAGAAAGTTTTTCACATTTGGGGTAAATTTTTTAGCATTCAAAGAACATACAGAAAAGGTCTTTTGCGAAGAACGATGCCATAACACGTCATATTGAATATTTATTTGACGCCATCGACTTTAGGGTACATCAATAATAGTGTTGCTATTGTTGCTGAAGAGACCAGATACATGTATGCTGGGAGGGGTGTTATAAATTGTGAAGTAAATTCACGTACTGATTGAAAGTTGAAGTGAATTAAAAAGTGTATTAAAACAAGCCTCGCTAGGCAATGCATGGTGGGTTTTATTTTTTGTATTGGGAAAATACATGAAGAATGCTCTATGGACGTTGGTGGGCTAAATGGTGTACATGTACACCATTCATAGCAGTCAATATTTATACATGAACTCTGTCGGGAGTAAACTGTAAAAACATGGAGGTGGACAATTTTCTATAGAAATCTGCCAACTCTAGACATGTACATGTACTGTATTGGGCCAAAGTGCAGCACTACTGGCTAAGAAGACATCATTCAACTTGGTCAAGTCAGCAGTCTTATGAAAGTCCCAATCATCTCTACTGCATTTCCAGTAAAATTAGTATTTCGAAGTTGACTTTTACAAGTTGTCATTTCCCTTAAGTCAGCATGTTCAGGGTTCAACCTTAACGCTGCTCCGCTGGCCAAATTCGAGTAAAAACAGTGGCGGTCTAGTGAAAGCCCTACGCGGTTAGTAAACAATATTCTGAAATAAGCGGCGAAATAGTTGATTGTGATGCATGCCCTCTAGCTGCTGCTGGTTTTGGAACCTTTTGCAACCAAGAACAGTTCGGTCCCTGGCACCAGCCCAGCAGACGTAATGCTGAAGTCTATAAATGCTGCGGCAGTAAATCGTCTGAAACTGATGAACCTTTTGCAACCAAGAACAGTTCGGTCCCTGGCACCAGCCCAGCAGACGTAATGCTGAAGTCTATAAATGCTGCGGCAGTAAATCGTCTAAAACTTCTATTCCGCAATGCCTTTGTGGTGCGATCGCATGTTTAACTTGCCGCGTGTGTCCAGTACGTCTCGACAACCCCATGACTTGACATTGGTTCTGCGTACAAGATCTAAATCAGCATGTGCTTTCATGCATTGCATCGTAGAGGTACATGTAAGTCATGAATTTGCATCCCACGTGTATGACGTGCCCATTGTGTATGGTGTGTGTATACACATTACGTAACTATGTATATGCAGTACTGATTTTTCTGATTGGTTAGGGAACGTTTCATAATTGTTGAAGACGGTATTTACTGCGGTACCGCAGCTTTTTTTAGCGGCACCGCACTAGTTATCTGAAAGGGCTTGATGCTGGTACCGCAAAAAAACAGCAGTACCGCAGTAAATACCGCCTTCTGTAATTATGAAACGTTCCCTTATTGGTGGTTGTGACACCAGCGATGTCACGGTTGTGATTTCGTGTTTCGTTCGCGCGCTACAGGTTGCACTACACCAAATACGCACCTGCAGAAAACATTGCAAAATCAGACAGAAATAGCGCTGCCTGCTAACTCTTGGAAAGAGGTTGGCCTCCGTTTTAAGTTCACTGGAAATTCAGGATTGTGGCCAGAAGATCACTTTTCATTTCAATTGTATGGGTTTTAGCCACGAAAATTATTTTTATTCGCCTTTTCCCAAAGATACCTCCAAAATAGTCATAAAACTATGCACTCATTTCTGAATTTAGCCGCCCGCCACTTTTGCAAGAAATACCCCGAACTGGAAATTATCAGTCCCAAATTTGGGATTTATAGAAATACTTCTATGATCCCTCCTCATTATGGCATGTCTTATTGTACATGTAAAAACCCTGTGGGATCACCAAATATTAATAAGCTCACACGCAGAAAAATACAACCATTTGGTGGAATGCACTCCACGGGTACTGGACACAGTTGAGAACGAGCATGAACTGTATGTACATTTCACCAGGTGTACTGTACATGTACATGTGCATACTGCATAAAACGTACATGTACATAAACTGTTCATAATGATTGTGAACAAACCATTTTCAGCAGGTAACCACTTTGTGTGTTTACTTTGCTGCTTGAGTCGAGTTATACTCACGAATATTCTGGAAACTCTGATTCCCATAACCATTTATGATTACTCATCAACAATTAAACAACATTCAGCACCGAGTGCACAATAAAATGCATGATGTTGGAGCAGAAAACACTGGTGCCAAAAAAGAATGTTGAAATTTGGGGGAAGAGGCGGACTAGTGAAAACGCTTGCAGACTAGTAAAAGCCATAACTGCTGGTCCTGCTGGCAAGTTAGAAAAAAGTTAAGGGCAAAACCTGATGTTCCTCTGAATCCCATTTTCACAAAAAGCACAACAAAATCCTGTGCGTGAGTCGGTGTTTAAAAAACAATTGGCATAAACTTCTGTGCTGCAGTTGGCAAGAAATGTTAGTGAAAAGTCACAGACTGGCGTCCGTTTATTGGCACGGTCCGTGATTGCTGAATCGGTGTTTATGTAGCGTTACACTAAGGCCATGTCCCAGTGCGTTGCGTGCACTGCTGTGACCATAGACCGATCCAAGACCCTTCTCTACCAGCACATGTACATTTACTGGATATCACATACAGTACATGTGTCATATTTTTCCTGCAAACTACATGTATATATGTACCTGTATGTAAGATGAGGGTATGTGGAGTCAAAACTTAATAATTTCTACTTTCCTACGGCCCAAGCATGAGACAAGTTGCATTGCAAACGCAGTGTGGTGTTAGTGTAAGAGACTTGAAGCATGTATGGCACACTGGTTCCTACTGCCAAAATTAGCAAGAATGGCATGGAATGGCCGGGAGCCAATGACCCCAAGAGACATTAGAATTACCATAGCATTAATCTGAGTACCTTGGACTCTACAAATCACCTCTTTTAACAATGAGGCAAGCATATACTGTACATGTACAGTACCTGTATATGGTCAAGGGATCGTACTCTATGAATAACCTCTTTTAACAATGAGGCAAGCATGTACAGTATATGGTCAGGGGATTGTACTTTACTCTGCAGAGTCAAAGAACATTCTATGTACATGTAGGTCTGTTCGATATCACGATAATTACTGAAACCGTAATATTTTTTCATATCAAAATATTAAGAAATTCAAAAATCTTGCCTTTTAACTTCCATCGCTAAGACAGTGGAGCATTAACAGCATTACTTTCGTATGTACAGGAAAATGCAGTCTGGGCACCATGTCGCTGATCAGCGCTGCAGGTGCATATTCAAGGGAACCATTGGTCCCGGATTCAAGCTGTCTCAATACCAGAGCCAATATGGGACTTATTGAACATGGAATTAAAGACGTCATTTATTCGGTCTTTGTGAAAGCTTAATCACACTGTTTTTGTACTTTTTTAATACCCAAAAGTGTCAAATTTGTCACTCAAATCACGCTTTTATCACTAACAAAAACAATGTAGGCAGTTTGACGAACATTATTTCTAAAAATTCAAACAAGAATAAACTCCAAAGTAACTTTGATATGAATTTTGGGAAATACTTTTGGCACATATATGTACAAGTCATAACCTACAATGTACTTTATGTAAAATAGTGGGTGTGGCCAAGTGCATTTGGTTCCACGGTACTACATGGAAAAGGGAGCTTATCGAAGTGACAGTGGTTTGTAATGATATGAATTGCCAAAGATCTACAGAAAATCATTTTGTTTCCTTAATTCCACTGAAACAAGACAATTCTGGGCTCCTGGATCATCTGGTAGACAGCTCCTTTTAATGTACAACAAGACAGTTATCTGTTGCTGCTCCTTGCTTGTACGGCTTATTCACTTTATCCACCCACCTATGTTTGAGAATTTCCATCAGCACGTGTGAGGGGCATACAAGTGTACACGTGTTGTTTAATTACTTGACAGCTGAACTCGACTTCGTTGGTTTTGTTCCATTCGACTTGCATGTACATGTAATATCGTGGCTACAGATGCTTTCGACGGTACCAGCAATGGAAGCGTAACAAGTGATACCGTAGTTTCATTTTTATTCTCCACGAGACAGATACTTCGAAATTCATAACGATTAACCATTTTCACTCATTAAAAATGTCCAATTGAGTCATCTTCTGGGTCAGGGGGTATTAAAAAATAAATTAGAAATGAATTCAAGTTGGGTTCACCTAATGAAAAGTAGCATTTAGGGCAGTACGCACTTCAGGGATCGGTGCCGTTGGGGATCAGACCGTGTGATTGGACTTTATTTTGCACAGACCTTGTGATGCAACAGTGGCAGATGTGAAACTTAAGTAAAAAAAGATGTCATCATGATTATATCGAATGTCCCGATTTTTTTCACGATATATCGGTTCTGGAAAAAACTGATATAGAACAGGTCAATTTTCCTTTCTAGTGCCTTGCTTGAGCAATAGTTTGAACTCAAATTTCAGTATGATTGAAAACGGAAAACTCCCGACATTTTGATTCAAAATGTCGATTTTACAAAAATCTTGACCTGCTCCAAACTTCCGCTGAAATTTTTTTTGGCTTGATTTTTTTGAATTTTTTTTCTGAAGTCCACAATGAACTCTTTAAAATGCTTCCAAAATACGAAAATAATCCAGCAAACTTGTGGTTAGGTAGGTATAAAAGCTCATAATAATTTAGCCGAATTTATCAACTTCAAAGAATTTTCTTAATATTTATTTGGGTTTGGGGGAATTTTTCAAAGACTGTGCCACGCCAGCATGGTCGAGGAACACTCGGCTGAACTCTTGCCCACTTTCCGGACTGAAATTTCATGACAGTGAATGTTCAACACGTTCAACAGCATGTATTATGAAGGTTATAGTACAAGTATTTAACAAAATGAAGTTTTCCACTGGGATTTGGCAACAAGTCAAGTGAAAGTCAAAGTGCGCGATGTTACGGGACATCTAAAAATTCATGTACAATCTGGCAACACACGATGCACAGTGCTTTACATCGATCTTCCCTTTAACAAAAAGCGTAAGTAACGTTAGTTTGTATCCAACCCCATCATCCTATCCTCTACAATTCCCCCTCTCTCATCCTATATCTACCATGTCTACTTTGACTTCACCCCTAATCCCGTCTATCTCCAATCCCACATTCACCTTATCTTTCCATCCATATCCTATTCCACCCCTCCATTATCCTATTCATCCCCAACTCTGACCCTCCCCATCATCCTATCCTTCTCCTACTCTGCTCCCTCCCCATCATCTCATTCATCTCCTACTCCGCCCCCTCCCAATCATCTTATCCATCTATTCCTCTCCCCCATCATCCTATTTC